ACCAAATCAACAAGCCTCCCGGGGAGCCATTGCCAGCGCCAGCCAGCCAGCCAGCCAGTCAGTCAGTCCGCATAACATCTCGAGAGACACATCATACAATGGCCTCCGGCACCTCCGCCTACTCCTCCGCCGCCTCCCAAATCCCCTCCCTCTCCCCCGCAGAGCTCTCCTATCTTCACACGTCCCTCTCATACCCTAACAATCCTATCCGCACAGATGGCCGTTCCGCGACGCAGTTCCGTCCCTTGACGGCTGAAACGGATATTTTGTCTGGGGCTAATGGGAGTGCGCGGATTGGGTTTGCGGATGGAACGCAGGCAATTGTTGGGGTTAAGGCGGAGGTTGAGAGGACGGTTGTTGGGTCGGTGTTGGACCGGGATGGAGATTTAGGGGGTGAGGAAGGAGGAGATGGTAATGGGGAGGGGGAGGGAGAGGGAGAGGGAGAGAGGGAGGCGAGGAAAAGGGCTGGGAGGAGGGGTGGGGAGAGTTCGTGGGTTGAGATGTCGATTGAGATTCCTGGGTTGCGGGATGATGATTCGTTGCCTGTGTTTTTGGCAGAGATGATGAGGGAGGCGTTGATGGTTTCTGGGTCGAGGACCGAGGGGAGTGGAGATAGAAATGGAGGGATGCCACAGGGGTTGAATGGGAGGCTGGTCATTAATGGTGGGTGGCATTGGAAGATTTATATTGATGTGAGTCTCGCGTTTCTTTTTTATTCCGTTATATAACTTCAGTTATATGTATCTGGGATGTTTTATGCATACTTATAGAATATATATATATATGCTGACACCAACTACAGATCCTCCTCCTCTCCCCACCCCTCTCCTACCCCCTACCCCTCCTCTCCCTAACAACCCACCTCGCCCTCCTCTCGACAAAGTTACCCCGACTCATCTCCAAAGATGAGGAGGATCCCATGTTCGACGACGACTGGGCGGCTGCAGAGTATCTGTACCCACGCCGGCAACCCCAGTCGCAACCCCAACAACAAACACACACCAAGCCATCTCCGATATCCTCAACGACACTCCACCTCTACCCCTTTCGGCCCCCCGTGACCCTCCTCGTGATCTCCGTTGGCGACAACATAATCTTCGACCCAAGTAGGGAGGAGATTGCGGTCGCAGAAGCTGTGCTTGCCGTCTCCATTGGACGTGATACTAGCACTCCTACCAATAGAGCTAGCAACAACAACAACAGCAGCAGCAGCAGCAGCAGCAGCACCAGCTCCCTGAAGCTGCTCTCAATCCGCACAATCGACCCGCCGTCTCGCCTGACGCATCCAGGCATACCCAGTTCAGAAAACGCGGCGACGATTGGGTTTGCGGCTGGAGGTGAGATTGCGGTGGCTGGGGGGGCAGGGGTGGATTCTGGGGAGGATGTTGCGGGGGTTTGGAGGCCGAGGAGGGGCGGCGTGAAGAGGAGTGTTGTGTCGAGGATTGTGAGCATGGTTTTGAAGAAGGGGGGTGTTGGGGAGGAGGTTATGGAAGGGTTGGAGGGGGTGGAGGTTGGGTGACCTGATGGACTGCTTCGCGGGTCGGGTTAAGGGGAAGTTGTGATTTCTGTTCCTTTCTAAAGGTTGTGTTTTATTTTATTTTTTTTTTTTAAAAAAAAAAAAAAAAAAAAAAATGGTTGATTGTTCTACTGTTATGGATAAATTGGGGCAAGAGTCAGGATATCTGGTTGGAGCTTGCCTGTGTTTTCATATTATAATGGAGTTATAGGACATTCTACTTTGACCCCTTTGTTGAAGGTTGTACGGATGATACCTTTTGGATTTAGGGGAAGAGCTTTCGATAGGACAATGGACGCAATTAAGGGGATAATTATGATTGAGCAAAGAGGTTTACATTGTCTGCTTTTGTGCAGCACGTAATTAACCCATATTCATATGCCAAACCACCCATTTACAAGCCAGGCGAATCCATGAAATAAATGAATTGACCCGCCTCTCAATGCCATGATACAAATCTAAAATATAATAAACCACCATATATCAAATAAAAAATAATATACAATTGCCTCCCTATTGGCTCCTTTATTAACCAAAGCCTAAACCTGCCAATCTTCACCCGGCCCGTCTGCATCCACCAGATTCACATCTCCTAAACCACTCCCAACCCTCCCACAAAAACTCCACACGAGCAACGCCACCTACCAAATCCCCAACCACTTCTTAATCGGCCTCCATCTCCTCTCCTGCACTTCCCCTTCCCCATCCCCATCCGCAACCCCAGCAGCAGCAGCAGCAGCAGCATCCGCAACCACACCCTCGTCACTCTCCGCACCCTCCACCTTCTCCAACCCATGTGCCCTCCGATACGCCCTCCGCTTCTCCACATCATCCATCTTCTTCTTCCTCCTCTCCATCGTCTCCAACGTCTGATGATCCGCATGCATCTTCATAACCGTCAAGACCTGCGCGACTGTATCGATCGGATGGATGAGGAGCTGCGACCAGGGTGGTAGCAGATGCGCGAAAGGGGAGGAGCGTTTGAAATTCGTGGTGAACGTGAATGTTGCTAGTGTGACGAGGACCGACTGTACGTAGTTTGTTAGCACACGTTGTGCTTATATAGAGGGCTAAGTTATAGAAAAGTGTATCGTATGTATTTATATATGTATACATGTATGCGGTAAGAGGAGAGGTGTTGGGCCGATTCCTCACCATCGAAATCCAAACGTGAATCCCCTTATTCGTCAGAAATTTATGCATCACCGTCCCCTCCGGCGGAAACATATGCGGATACCGCTTTGTCTTTTTCTCCGCCAGCTCCGCCTCCGTCAACCGGGGACCGGGGTAGTTGAGCGGTTCTCTGGCGGAGCGCGGGTTTGTCACACGCCGCGCTGCGTGGGAGGGGGGTCTGAAGCGGTCGGGCTTTTCGAGAACGCGGGGCCCGCGGGGGGAGGAGGACTTGGTGGTTGTGGATTTTGGGCAGAGGTGGAGGTGGGGGTGGAGTTGTGATTGGTTGTGGCGGACATTGCGGGATGTGAAGAGGAGAGTCCGCGTGGATATGCCTCGTGGAAGGAGGAATGGGGGAATTAGAGATTGTGAGGCCATTGGGTGTAGTGTTTATATATATATATATTATTCTCTTGGTTGGTACCGCGCGTAGATGTAGAGATTTGAGATTGATATCGGATATTTTTGCAGGAGGCATAAAGATGCTATGCCGCAGTGGGATTAGGCGCAGGGTCAAGAAGCGGCACCGGTTCCTAGCAAGACGGTGACGGTGCTGACTCAAACTGGCCTAACCCGACCTTGGCTATTCAGGACAACATACATACACACCTTAGGCACTGTCAATTCGCTGCGAGAAGAATGCCTTTCCCTCGCCCATTTCAAGAAGAGGATCCGGGAATTAAACCCAAAGCCCCCCTGTTCTATCGGCATGGGCATTGCCGCGCATGGTTTCGCTCTTGACCATGAAACTGTTTTGAAGTTCGCCCTGTTGTGTGATAATACGTACATGAACAATGGAGGCCTGCAACATATCCGAATGGAGCTTTTGATCTATCAAGGGGGCAATGGCTTCTACAAATCTGCTTTTGGATGGGAGGGATAATGTGGTGCGCTGCGAGTTCTCCGGTTAGTCAATCGATTCAATTCCCTATTCCACTCATTCGCAGCTTTTGAGCGAGGGGCAGGATGCTGCTACATGGGATGATACACCCTGGTCGCAGACCTGCAAAAAGTGCAAATCCTTACTTACAGAAATGCGCTGCGATAGAAGACTCTCTGCGTTGAAAGTAAAAATGAAAATCTAATCCCTTGCTGTGATTGGGAATATTTAATCTGACATTTGTCATACTTTCTTCTTCATAACCCGCCATGGCTGGAGGAAATGCTACATTCACTCGGACAAAACGTCTTCGATCTGGGGGGGGGTATTTCTAGAGAGCATTTAGTTGATCTTCTAGACCCGAGAAAACTACCTCCCCCTGCAGCTTAGTATTTTCAAGCTCTCTGCACATTTAATTTGCAGCTAGACGATCACCATGGTTTGATGGGAATCAAAGTAAAATAATCTCCCTATATACCCTACCCACTTTTTAAATATATATATCAATCTGGAGCTATTGCGTGTTGTTTTACTTCTTAATTGATTTTCACTGTGAATCTTAGGTTTTATTTCTTAAGCGAAGTATCTTAGCTTAATAACTTGGTTAATGCCATGATATAGTTATTAAAATATGATCTGTTCATAAAAAAACTGCTCTGCATATTGACAGAACACTAACTGCGCCTTTGAGAAGAAGAGATGTCATAGTGTAGATGTTTAGGTTATGATTTTCCCTCAATAGCTAAATATGACTGAAAAATTCACACTGTATACATTCAAGTATTCTACTGAGGGGCTGCAGTTACCAGCAAGCTGATATTCACTCTATCTATCCATATGATTGGTGATATATCAGGCTGAAGTTGAGTGTGGCAGGCATTCTCAAGCAATAACTAATTAATGATAATAACTTGAAATCAATGTCAAAGGTTAGCCAATGTGTTGACAGTTAGTGGGGATCCCAAATGTCTTGTCTTGTTGCTTTGTGATTAGTTAGTTAACTACTGCTTTGGAAATAGTGCGTCAAGTCTAGTTAACCAACAATCGCCAACTTCAATCTGTTATTCCCGTCGAGAAGATAAAAAAAAAAGCCTGGGCATTGTTCAAGGGAACAATGCACCATTTTCTCCTTCTCTTCTCTCTCTCTCATCTCCTGTCTCTCGCGCTCAGGTGCACTGGCCCAACCCCCCCCCCCCCCCCTTTTCTTCTGCGGGATGGGGCCCATGTTATCGGGTCTCTAAACCCTATCATGATCGTTCCATGCAGCGCCAGTCTGCGGCCCACCATCTCCCCTGCTAGATCATCACCTGCTGAAGTTTGTGTGCTATTGGCGCCAACACTCAGCCATGTATATGCTATTGGCATCCCAATATTGAGCAATTGAGAGATATTGATACCGCCACCTGATCTGCCTTCTTTTGAAGAACCCCGAGCATGAAGCTCTTGTCTCCACACAAGCCGCAATTTGCCTCGAATTTTCCGCTTGCAACACCCAAGATCTCACGGCTCTCTAAGCTACGATGGCTCTTCCAGAGAGAGCGTGTGTGTGACTACCGGACTGATCCATCATTGCCCAGCACAACTAGCTAAGGTGACTGCTTGGAAGTATTTCTCACGCTCCCTATTCTCCAGTATAACACCTTTGTTGATCTAGCAGTTCTTGCTTGATGATGAAGGGCCTTTTGGGAGGCCAGTGATCTTCACCATCCTGTCCAGGAAGGTGACAGCCCTACAGTCTCTAGGCCAATCCATCCATATTCTAAACCTCCTCTGTCTACGCTCTGCAACGCACTCAAGTATCACCAAGTCTCCGGACAGAGGCTTCGAGCGGCTGGAATGGTAATGCGCAAACAGACAATGGCCCCCACATCTAGCATTGCCAACCACTGCACCCCTCCTATTACAGCACCAAGATCAGCACCTCTTGCCGCAGTGGTGTGGATGAAGTCGCCAACAGCAACCAGCCCAAGAGCCTCAAGCAAGAGGTGCAGCCATCCGAGAAACAGGCAGTGAAAGTGGCTACGGGTTGCCTCGGCCTTGCCTGATGGGGAATGTCTATTTGCTACCCTTTTGTTCTCATTTCTTCTCTCTACAGCTCAATAAATACCTGCAGTTCCTTTCCTAGCTGTTTATAGGTGTGCTTTGTCAAGCTGCACACCCACTGCACACCCAACTCCAATGAGAGTGGACAGTCAGTCAGCCTGTCGCTCGGATTTCTCGAGAGAAGATCGAGCAAACTTGGCGTGAGCGCAGTGAGATGAAAAGGGTCATGGAGAGACAAGCCGTGACGATGGATTCCGAGTTTTGCCCTGGCCTCTTGTGGAATTTCAGGTAGTTAATTAACGCGTACGGAGTAAATGTCCCCGCCGTTGGGTTTGATTACGTACACCCGGGTTCTTCTCCATCGGCACCACTTTCGACAACACTGAAGTCGAACTAGGAAGAGTATTTAGTATTTACGCCACTCCGACAGGTCGGCCAAGCCCGGAAACCTTGAGTCTTGTCCGGCCAGCTGCACCTGGCTACAGGTACAACTATTAGTTGTCCACGGAGGAAGCAATGCAACAGGGGTGCTTGCTGGGGAGACCGACCGTTCTATTCATCCTGACTTACCCCTCTTTTTACAACATGAGCTGATGTGTATATAACACGTCTTCTCCCATAATTCAAGCCATCATTTCTCCACTCCTGAAGATTCAGTCGTGAGCGCCTTCATCCAGTTACTAGTACTTCACTCATCATCAAACTTAACATGTCTTCCAATTTGTCAATCCTCACGCTTCTGTGCTTCCGACAATCTTCCTTGTTTCCTCAAGAGACTGCACATTGGGCACTGCAAGTGTAAAGCTTCAAGAAAAGTTGAATGATTCTAACATTTGTGTAGCCTTCTCTGGAACCCCAATGCTCCATCTGGCTCGCTTTTCCATGTCTCCAAGGAGTCACTGGCAAGCGGACAGACAGTATGCACCCGTCCCCTGTTCACAAACACCACCAGACTCTGACAAATGCCGTGAATTATCTTAATCCCAGAGCTATAGACTGGTGAGAAACGTAAACCCGATGGCGTCCTCGTCGCTTCGGGCCTTAGTTGAAGTCGCCTCAGGGGTTCGGCTCACCGATCAAATGCTCGACGCGCATTGCATATCGATTGCGCACGACCGCTCCTTTGACCTTGTTTACAACAACAGTCAGAGATTCTGCAGTCAGGTTCTGCAGCGTCTCGTTTACAACAGGGTAATCACTCAGAGCCAATTCGATGAGCTAGCTCTGAAGGGATTTCAGCCGCTCGTCTAAGAGCAGGGGTGGAGTCAAGGACGTGCGTAACGCGCGCACTGCACTCGAGTTGATGGCGTGAACCAGATCAAGAGCGTTGAAGAACCTGGTACGGTGGCACTGCGCCAATGCAGCCTTGAGAAGAATGATCCGAGTGACATTGGGGATAAATATGTTTCTTGTGTCAGAGATTCGTTGTCTTTTCAGAGATAGAGGCAGTCCACTCATTTAGCAGTATAACTATAACTGTCAAGGCTTCAATGTCCACTGATAGAGAAGCTGAATATTTTTGTGTTGCCGCCCTGTTGAGCTACACTACATACTTCGTTGCTCTCATTTGTGTAGTATTCCAAATATATTATATATATAGCCACACAGAAATAGGGCACTTTGTTAATGTAGTCCTGTCATGCACGTAATGTGATCTCAAAAAAACATCTCACGCACAAATTGAGAACTTGTGCAAAAAGCACAGATGGAACTCATTGGGAAAAGCAAGTCGGCTCATTTGACACGAGCCTCGCCCTCGAGCGTTTGATATGGACAACAAAGACAGAGTGCTCCTGCGTTGCGTCCGCAGAGTGATCTCCTCCCTCTCTTTCGCGAATTGCATCGAGCGCCGCATCTTGCACCAGAGGAGTCACCATCTATCTCAACACCGCCTCCCAGCTGTGGCTGTGGCTGCGTCGGACTCAACCCTCAGGGACTCATGCCGCGGCTTGCGGATTTTCGTGTCTCAACGTCGTCGGGGAGGCCGTTGGCGGTCCCACCATCCCCCATTCGTTGAAGCGTGAACTGCACCTGTCTGCTCGCGGGTCTGTGGTTGTAGCTCCGCCGTGATGGAAGAATGTGAAGATGGGCTGGTGAGGCTGTAACTAACTAGTTAGCGTTCGATGGTGCCGTCCTCTGAGAGGTGGAGAGTGTTAAAAAAGGTGCCCACCAAACTTTCCAGGAACAGATTCATTCAGGGCCAATCTCTTGCACATAGGCCCGGGGGGGGAGTATAAGGGGATAAGGGGATAAAAGAGCTTGAGATTGGAATCAGATTGTCGGGTCTAACTTTACTAATAACTAGCTAGTTAACTGCATTCCTTATGAACATTGCATTGTTTTTTGATATCGGGCTTTTTTTATCGTCTCTGCAGCTCTATAGTTGCCCTCTGCTAACTTGTTAGAAGTGTATTTTTTTTTATTTATTCTCTCCTTTCTCACCCATTTTCTCTCGCTCATTTTGCCTCTAGTTTCTACTTGTTAAATCTTAGTCCAAGTAGTTTTCCTGGAAGATATAAAATACTCTTTGAGCTAGAATTTCAGCCTTTTTCTTATCAAATTATCATAGATAGACTTGACACTCAAAGTCTTAGTTGTCTGTCACTCTTGTGCTTTTAGAACTCTAGCAGTGAACTGAGCCTTGGAGTGAATTTGGCACTATCTTGGTAGATTCTCTCGGGTGAGTAGATATGCTCTGTTATTGCATTATCCACTGTCCGCTCCGCCTTGTGAGTTTGTAAGAACTTCGGGAGAAACTTGGCTATCTGGGATGTATACCAGGAGATTTGCAGTTCTCATAAGCGAACTACCTATCACCATGTTCGCGTTTGAACTGTAATAATTAGGTGGCATCCATACATATATATTCACTCAAGGATAAAAATGTATATATGGTACAATCTTCTAGCTATGTTGATAATATAAATGTTATTATCAGCTTTAAATCTCCTCACAAAAGCTGTAAGAGTATAGAAAGAGCTGCATAAGAAATCTTTGAAAAAGAAGGTAAAATTTAATTTAATTTGATATGAATAAAATTGAATTGATTTATTTTTATTTTTAAAAAATAAAGAAGATAGAATTATTCCTTTTCAAGATAAAGTTATAAGATCTAAAAGCTTAGCAAGATGACTAGAGATTTTGATAGATTCAAAGCTTAAATTTAAGTTCACATAAAGATTAGCTTAGGCTGAAAGAACTTTAAATAATATGGTTAGATTTTCAAATACTAAAAGATGACTGTCTTTTTAAGATAAAATAATTATATAGCTTGTACAGCTTTGCTTCTGATTTTGCAGTTAAGATCTAATGAAAAAATCAAAAATTCTGTGAGAATAATTTTCAAAACTTCAAAATAAAGCTCTAAAAAATGCTAAGTGCATTTAAAATGTTCTCTATACTAGAGCGATGAAAATAGAGATCTCAATTTCATCATCAGCTATTCAAATCACTGAAGTCAAATAAAAGTATATATTTTATACTTATTATGTATATTTGATAAAGATCTGATTAGGGTTAAAATTTAAATTAAAATCAATACTATGAAAATTCTAAAATGATTTTATCTTCTTAACTTTATGAAATATATGTAATAATTAAAGATTGGTTATCAAGTTTAATTGTAAAAAATATAAATCACATTTAGCTTTATTTGTGAAAAAAATTATTTTATTTTATTAATAGATATTTCTATCAAAACATTCTTTATTTAAAAGAAAAAAATATATATATGTTCAAAACTTTAAAAGATTAACAAGAAAAGTTTTTTAATAATATATTCAAATAAATCAAAAAGTGAAAAAGATTATCTGAGAGCAGGCTTAGCTTTGATATACTTTACAATATATTCAAAATATGAGCTATATTCTTGAAATTCTAGAAAGAAAAACAAGATTTTCAATACTGAGTTATTTGTAATTTTAAAAGTATTTACACTAGTTTATAGACTTGTTTTGAAAGAATCTACTATTAAAATATATGAATCTTTTCATATAATTAAGTAGTAGGTAAATGACTATAAAATTATAAAATTCAAAATAATTAAATGAACCTTGATTTAATTTAGCAAATAGTAAAAAATAAAAGTTAAAAGATAAAAATATTCAAATTTATTTATATTGAGTATCAGCTCATAAACATTTTAGAAAATGAAAAAGCAGATTTAGTAGCAGAAGTAATAATACTGAAACTTAAAATATAATATAAAACATTATTTTCTGATTTTATATTAATAGATAGATTAGAAAAATCATTATAAAGAGTTATACTTTAATTTTTTTTGTATTCAGACTTCATCTTCATTGAAGCAGTGCTATTGAGGCAGCGCCTCCACCTATTCATATAACTTCTTTCTGCTAAAGCTCTGCTCTCCACGCCTCTACTACTGAATATTAATAAAGTCTATATGATTTGTCTTTCTTTTTTCTTCTTTAATGATTTCTTTTTGTTTTCATACTCAGTAGTTCAGCTGTTCTCAGCAACTAGTCTCTTACAATCATGTCATAATAAATAAATGAGCTTTGAAAAAAAAAATTTCAATATATAAAATATAATAAGATCAAAATAGAAGATTTTTTAGTAAAATATTTTTTCTTCTATAATATAATTAAAAATTGAATATGATTGTTTAAATTCTATTCAAAAAGAATTAGAAATTCTGTAAGATTATATAAATATAAACTTTATAATTTAGTTAAAAATCTAGATTATATTTTAATGAACTGTTTATTGCATAATAATATTAGAAAGAAATTTAAAAAAAATACTCTATCAATCAGTTAAATGTGCTCTTTCTCTTTATGACTGAACTGATTATAAAGTTTATGATTGATTATAGAGAGAAAATAAAACTGTCTCTAGAAATAAATTTTAAAATCAGATAAAATCTTTATTTAATATATATAGTTAATAAACATTTAAAGACCATCTCATTTTAGAATTTTATATTATTATTATTCTCTTTATTATTAATTTGTTGTTATATATATATTTTTTCTTGATACTATTACTCTCTATGAGATGTTTATTGTTAAATATCAAGATTATTGAAGTTCTTTTTTTTAAGATTCTAATATAATCATTTCTCTACTTTACTATTTTACTCTTATATATTCTAGATTATATATGTATATCAGTTTTTCAAAAGAATCAAATCTTAGTATTACTGGATAGTTATTACACATGATCTAGTCTTTTCATTCATAAATAGTTTTCATTACACTAGAGATTCTTTTTCTAGAAAGGTCAGTTTTGATGATTTCATTGCATATTCATATGAGATGCTCAACTGGCTAGTCAATAGAATAGAGTGAAATAAGAAACATTAAATGATTTAGTAGTAGTATATTTAAATGAGATTTGTTTAGATTTATAGATGTTAATGATCAATAAAAGTCTTTTTTGATTAGAAGTTTGATCTTTTGATTTGAGAGATATATTGAATGATTTGATGAATGTGAGTGATTGAGATGAAAAGCTACACAATATGAATAAATTAGAGTTTGCTGCAGTAGAAAATTGTAGAGTATATTTATATTAATTATTATAATTTATAAAGAGTTATCTGATTTTTTAAAGATAATCATATCATTTAATATATAAATTATGTTGATTGTAAGGTTTTTTATTTTTTACTCTATAATACATTATAGAATTTGATGAATTTAAAAAAATTATTAGTAATTAAAAATTAATAAATCAGTTTTAAAGATGTTATTAATATACAAGAGAATTAGAAGATAATGTTTATTATGATAAGTTATTTATAACTATTATAAATTATGTACAAAGCTGCTCTATTTTTGTGGTAATTTAATTTTAATTTGATTAATGGTTTGTTATAGTGTGGATCTTTTAGGTTAAAATAATTCGTTGAGATGTAATAAACCGGAGTGGCCCATTCGCTTGAGATAATTACCAATTCCCGAACGAAAGGCTGTGCTGGATAATCGAATATCCCGTGCATGGTATCAAATTGTGGCTGCTTGGCCTTCGAACTAGTACGTTGTCTACTATAGGCTGTGTGATATTAACACAACCAACATTTGGAAAATCGCCATAACCAAACCTCTTTCAACCAAGCTACTCAAGCTCATCTGCGCTGAACTGCTAGAGTTGAAATACCCAACCCCCGACTTCCAATGTGCAATATTCCAGAGTTGTTTGGTTGAATCGGGGCCGTAGCTAGTTATCACGTGCACGGATGACTCAGCACCCGTAATCCCCCGGGCGCGTGAATAACCCGGGTTCTGATTGGCCTCAGCGCCGGCACAGCCAATAACAGGCGGCAAAATAACCATCAGTCATTCATTCTTGCGGGTGCGGGTTTAGTGCGTCATTCCGCGAACTCGCCCTTGTTTGGTTGGTTTTCTTTTTTTTTTTTTTTTTTTTTTTTTTTTTTTTTTTCGTGTTGGACCGGAGCAAAAAATTTCTTCTGATTCTTGAAATCTCCAGAATATTTTTTCTATATCCTGTTCAACATAACCTTCATTCACACCGGGTATTGGAAGTCTCTCCCTGTAACATATAGTTTTGTTCCTTCTTCCACTCTCTCTCTCTCTCTATCTTGCATATTATATTCCTATCTATCTCCGTTTGTATATCATTCTTGTACTATATATATATAGACTTGGATTTCTGCCCTGCACATATATATAGACAGACACCCGTTTCTCTTTTACAACAAAAATGGGCAAAGACAGCTTCTCTCCCGGTATGTGCCTCCCCCCTCCCCTGTTCTTCTTCCCCAGTGCTGTGTTGGGCCTTCCTGCAGAGCCTCATTTGTGTTCTCCGGCTGCTGCTCTGGCTGTTGCTCTGGCTGCTGGTGTTGCTGTTGCTGCTGCTGCTCCAGCTGCTGGTGTTGCTGTGCTGCTGGTGCTGGTGTTGTTGTTGTTGTTGTTCTCCTTCACTTCCTCTCGAATATGCTGCCAACCGCCCCATCAAACGCTGGGGTGCTCTATTACGCTCTTCATTGCACCCGGAGCAGTCTTATCTTCAATCCTACCATACTGTCCTTGAGAGTAAACAAGATCACCTTCTCTTCGCTGCAACATCAGCACCCCAGAATCAACAACACAAGTCGCGTCTGCATGTCTTCGCCCCTGGAATCATCCCCTTCCCACCCCCCTAACCCATCTATAAATCAGCTCTCTTCCCGTGCAATATATTCTTTCCTCTCTTTCCTAAACAACTACGTCCTCCCTGTACCCCACAACATCTGCAGCGCAATCCGTCGCCAGATCTTCCACCCGAAGCCATCCTCCAGGAATTGCGGAGATCAAACAACATCCAACAACAGCAACCATGAGCCTGGAGATGACAATGGCGTGCATGGTGCACGCGATGCTCGAGCAGGAGGAGCTGAACGAAGAAAACGAACGCAAGAGAAAGCTAAAGGAACTCGTTCGACTGCATCCGGAGCTTAAGAGGCCGACTACTAATTTTACCCCTCTTCTCAATCCAGGTGACGCTGCCAAGGGTGCTGGTCTCTTCAAGGTATGCGCGCGCCTTGTGTTTCTTGTTTTCTATTTTATTTTATTTTTATTTTATTTTTCTTCCGAGGTTATATACAGCAAATGCTCTTAACGAAGACACGCGCTGACATTGTGTGAAACCTCACGTCTAGACTCGCTGCGCTCAGTGCCACACCCTCGAGGCTGGCGGTGCTAACAAGGTCGGCCCCAACTTGCACGGACTTTTCGGCCGCAAGAGTGGAACAGTCGAAGGTTACTCCTACACCGACGCAAACAAGCAGCGAGGTGTCGAGTGGAACGAACAGTCTTTGGTATGTCATACTTGCCGGGCAATTGCTCCTATCTTGCAAAAAGAGAAGAAGAAAAGAAAAAGAAAAGAAAAAGAAAAAAAGAAAAAAAAAGGGCGCGATTAACGAGTTATTGGCTCCAATAGTTTGAATACCTTGAGAACCCAAAGAAGTACATCCCTGGCACCAAGATGGCTTTCGGTGGCCTCAAGAAGCCCAAGGACCGCAACGATCTGATCACGTATGTAAATATCCAGTTTTATCTATATTTTTGTTTGTGCTGCATTCGAGACGCGACACTAATCTCGTCCACCCCGTGGATATAGCTACCTCCAAAACGAAACCAAATAAAAACAACTTCCACCGAATGAATTACCTCTCTCAATCTTCCTCCACGCCCAACCTAGAACACACTCAATCCCGATGATCAACAGTATGCGCACTTTGCTCTTCTGTACAGTCTTATGCGCGGCTTGAAATTCCTTAATCTACCCACCGTTTCCCCTCTGTTGTCATGTTCTAGAAAAGAGAATACCCTATCTTTTCCAGCTCTTTTCTTCCACGTCAAACGAAAAGATAGAAAGAGAATACCTGTGCTCGTTTCGCGAAGAACTTCGTGGTGTGTCTTTTTTTATTTTATTTTATTTTTATTTTTTTATTTCAATGACCAAAAAAGGGGGAAAACCTCCACTGTAACAATATTAAATGTCTTTTTTCTATCCTCATTTTCTTCTCTTCTCTTGATCATGGTGGATTCTGTGTGTGCCTGTTCTCTCTAACTCTATCGTGGACTTGATGTTTTCTTCTTTTGTCCTATATCTCATTTTCGACGGGTTTGTCTATGTGTGTAATACTTTCTCCGTGCGAGAACAAGGGTTTGCAGAAGAAAAACATTATACAACCCCAGAGTCAAGTCAGGGAACAGAGCGCTGAAGACAAAAATTCGCCAATGGGATGGGATGTTGAAGGAAGTGGAGGCTATGATGTAGTTCCCTCCCCCCCCCCACCCCTCCCTTTGTTATAATTCTCTTGCGTCCTGCATGTTGTAATTTCTACCCTTTTTTTACACAGCAGTGTCGTTTTGTATATTCCTTTCCTTTTACGGGTTAGATGGGATAGATAGGATCAATGGGCAAATATCTCCTCTCTTTTACATGCTTTGCTACTTTACTCTCTTGGGCTATCGCCTCGGGGTCTGTGTTTGTATTTTGTGTTTTCGTGGGTCGTCCGCCGGCATCCTGATTGATTTACTGCGGAAGTTTTTCCACAAAAGCAAGTGGGTCTGTATTATTGATATATGGAGGATCTTGAATCGGATTCATTGTATGGAGGAGCATTGGATCGGGACAGTGCGGTGAGGGGGCGTTGTAGTGTTATTTCGTTTTTACACACCGCAATCTCCCAATATTTCAGAAAATTAACTTGCAGGGAACAATGGGGGTTGTTTCAACTCTCACTCCTCTGCGCTTTGTTTTGTTTTGTTTTGTTTTTCAGACCATCTACGCTTTTCCCCCATATCGTATACAAAACTATCTCAATAATCATCACCCTCTCCGACAGAGCCCGCGCGACTCATGCGCCATTGGCTATAGCAAATGAGAAGTTTCACGCGTCTAGGAATATTATCCAAAACACGGATAACGGAGCGGTCAACGGGGGGGGGGTTAGGTAGGACGGTTCGATGATGGGTGTGCATACTGAAACCGATGTAGTAGTAGTAGTAGTAGTAGTAGTAGTAGTAGTAGTAGTAGTAGTAGTAGTAGTAGTAGTAGTAGTAGTAGTAGTAGTAGTAGTAGTAGTAGTAGTAGTAGTAGTTAGTTACTTGGGCAAAGGCTAATAATAATTATCAGAAGTACTTGCATACCAGGTAACCCTCCGTCCCTGTATCTTTTACATTCATTTCCTCGGTTTTGTGTGTTTTTAAGCTTTTTTTGTGTCGCATCTCAACTGTGATTGAAGCACAAATGTGGTTTTCTGGGGCGAGTTGAACCCTTCGTTTATAGTTAGTTAAGCAATCTATCTATCTATCTATCTATCTATCTGCTCGCACAGCCGCGTGCTGAGACCGGGAGGTTTTTCAAGATCGAGTTGGGCATCTCTGCGCGCAAAGTGGTTCAAAGCTATTGCTGGATTTCCCCCGTCGGCCATTCAACGTTACGCAGGGAAACCTTGTTGGATTTTGCCTCTTTTAACTATATATCCCTATTCCAGCTGGTTACCCCAACGTAACTAGCCCCGAAGGAAATCTCTAGCATTGGCTTCACCATGTCCCACAGATGCGGGAAGTCTGTCAATCTACATGCATGTATGCAGGTACTGTACCATGGAAAGGGAAATGCATGATCGTCACACAGGCGACGACGACGAGGAGGAGGAGGAGGAGGAGGAGGAGGAGGAGCGGCAGATTGGGCTGAAAGAGAAGCGTGAGAGAATATGCAGCTCCTAATCATCTGAACGAGAATAGCAAACGGCAAATTGTGGTGAATTGGTGTCGACCATTCATAGAAACGAACGTAAGTAGCCCTCGACCTTCCTCGCGATGTTCTGGCGACTGATTGCGGGGAATAGGAAGCTGGAGAGGAACAGTGCAGTGTGCTATTTTATCTCAACAAACAAACCAGGAAAAAATATTTCAATTCTCGGGATCCTGCCCCATCACTTTTTACAAAAATCAGTGATAAAAAAAACTCCCCAATTAGTCACTAAACAGTCAACAATGAAGTTTCCCGCAGGCATCACTTCTCGTCCCCCGCGTCAGCGGCGCCGTTGTCTTCGCATCGTCCGCGCCTGACACGTAAAGCTTCAAGCGACGAACCAGCCACCAACAAATGTGTCGTCAAGTTGGATGCATTTTTGTCATGGCGGGAGTAAAAACCCGATTCACAGCTGCTACGGGGACATGCGTTGTGAAGGCAATGGCTCAAAGAGAGGTTAGGTTGTAAGCACTCGGAAATGCACATGTATCTTGATTTACAAGAGGCTTTGGCGAAAACGAATTCGTATTTCTTTTCGAATTAACGTTTCCGAGGAAATTACAAATAGTGATGATGGAGACGGCGGCTGACGAGCAGTGCTTTATGCACTGGCTTCGGGCCAAACCATAGACATGCAAGGCCCCCCCCCCAAAAGGAGTGTGAGTCTACCCTAGGGAGTGCAGGGCGGAGGACAAGCTATGCGGGGACAGGAGCTGCTGCCCAGGTCTGTCCTGTCAAAAGATTTTCCAGAAGCAAATACGCAAGTTCCGTTATTTATTGATGATATTTTCCGCCTGCTGTCTTCCCCAATCTTTCGGCCTGATCCTTGACTTGACTGCCCTTTTTGTTCAAATTCGTAGAATATGGGATCTAATGTATGGCGCCAATTCCACCAAGCGCTAACCTGAGCCTGAGCAGGAGCCCGAAGAAATTGCGGTCCAACTTTCGGTTTTTCTCTGAATAGCCAAGAACCGTTGCTGCAAAGGGGTTGAAATGTGAACAGCAGGCAAACGGCGAAAGTTGATGTATATTCGACCCCTCCTTCCCCCCATCTTGCTCGTGCTTGTCATCCCCTCTTCACATAGTTTAAACAGGAGAAATAGTCAAAAGCACGCTAACGGGCATATCCGCACTCTCCTCGTTCAATCTGCAGTTTACCTGGATGCGATGTATCAACGCATGAATGGCCTGTCCTACACAACTCATCTGCCTTGCTGAAAGAATTCTCGTCCCGCGAAGAGAGACAGCGGAGTGGTTTTAGGCAACTGGAAAGCGGAGAGGGGCAGTAGACTCTTCGTTGAAGCGAAAGATTTCTTTTTCTGTTGGATTTGGGATAGGCATTTATCGAAAGCGCAAATGAACATTGGAGAAGGGAGTGGACTTTTGACTGGCTGAGTTTATTGCAGGATTTCCTTGTAGTCATTCTCTAGATCAAGAAAGAAGAGTATTATCGCAAGCTCTGGCTATTGTGCGTATGCAACCAGACAAACACGGGGGGTACATAGACGGCAATCTGCCTAATAGTCATCTCAAGGCAGGCGTTTATTCGTTGTATGAAGAAGAGAGGATGGGATGACGTTTATATATGCCTCCATTATTAGTGATCGCGCAAGAAATGTCCAATAACAAAAGCTAGGGTTCAAGCTGTTTCCCTGTCCACACTCAACTCTACAGGACAAAATATCCGCTCGATTGACAGAAATGACACATCGTGGGGTATATGACTCCGCAGCTCCGCATTTCAGCCAGACACCTTCAGCTCCCCCCCTCCTTCTCTCCTGAATAATCAGACATCCGGATAAGCGACAATGAGGGGTGGGTATCACCCGGTAGGTATCGAATCTGAGCGACGAAGATGCACCTGGAAAAGGACATATACTATCTATCTCTTCTTTGAGTCGAAAGTTTTCCCCGTATATGATGATATTGAGTAGAGAATTGTTGGAAAAAGCAATTCAGCTTCAAAATTCCTCTCCACGGGTGCCGTTTTGGAAACCAAATGAGCTTGCTATCGAAGGTTAACCATCTGCGTGCGGCCTGGCAAAGTAAATGTCAGGCCTATCCGTCTTCTTACGTAATCCGCACCGTATATAACTTCCGCGTAGCTAGCGATCGCTTCATAATCAATCAAGCAATCTATCCTTCACAGTAAATATATCACAATAGGGAAGGTTCATTAATGACGTCATTTATTTCACTGCCCGCCGTCGCAGAAACATGCAACGATTGAAGCAAAAGAAAGGACTGTATCCATCAACATTTGAAGCGTTTTGTGGATGGGTGAAGGTGGCCGGAACTGTTTTCTCCTCATTCGAGATTTAGAACTCCCAAGATTAAAAAAGGGTCAGTAACTGGTAGTGAATATGAAACAGAAATGGCAATTCATGGGCGCTTGATCTGGGGGCTGATGCCGTGCACATGTATGTATGTATGTATGTATATATGTATATATGTATATATGTATATATGTATGTCATGGCTGAGAGAGGTATGGCCATTGGATTCAGACGACTTTCAAACTCTAGGAAATCCTCAAGAGTGAATTCATTCAACAAAAGGTCATTTGATGATGATTTGTGTTGCTCCGTACTTGCGAACGGGAAACCTCGGTAGTCTGGTCTGTGATGTGCCAGCCGGTGATTGGACCAGCCACCAAGTTTTCCAAGGTTCCCACCTCCTTGGTCCTAGATTGGGATGGAAATGGACCAATGGATGACTGCGACTAACTGCGGGGCCTGGATCCAAAGCTTTTCTCTCTGCTTTGTGAGCATGTGGTGGTTTGAGCAACTTTTGGCTTATCGAACTGAAGGCAATTTAAGGGGGGGGGGGAGGGAAGAATCTCTGGCGTTTGGGATTTGCTTGTGCAGGCCATCACCG